AAATTTCAGATTAATCTAAAATTTCAGATCATTTAGAACGATTCTTTTATCATTCTTTTAGAATAATAACTTCAATCGTTCCAAATGAACGATAACAGAATCGTTCATTTAGAACGATAACTTCAATCATTTCAAATGAACAATTTTTTTATCATTCGTTTAGAATGATAACTTCAATCATTCCAAATGAACGATTCTTTTATCGTTCTTTTGAAATGATAATTTAATCGTTCTAATTAAATGATTCTTTTATCATTCGTTTGAAATGATAATTTAATCGTTCTAATTGAACAATCTGTTATTGTTCGTTTGGAATGATAATTTGATCATTCCAATTGAACAATTTTCTTATCGTTTGTTTGAAACGATAACTTCAATCATTCTAATCGAATGATTCTTTTATTGTTCGTTTAGAATGATAATTTGATCATTCCAATTAAATGATTTTCTTATCGTTCATTTGGAATGATAACTTTAATCGTTTCAAATGAATGATTCTTTATCGTTCGTTTAGAATGATAACTTGATCATTCCAATTGAACGATTCTTTTATTATTCGTTTAGAACGATAATTTCATCATTCTAATCAAACGATTTTCTTATTATTTGTTTAGAATGATAACTTCAATCGTTTCAAATAAACAATTCTTTTATTGTTCGTTTGGAATGATAATTTCATCATTCTAATTGAACAATTTTCTTATTATTCGTTTGGAATGATAATTTCAATCGTTCTAAATGAACGATTCTTTTATTGTTCATTTGGAACGATAATTTGATCATTTCAATCAAATGATTTTTTTATCATTCATTTAGAACGATAACTCCAATTGTTTCAAATGAACGATTCTTTTATCGTTCGTTTGGAACAATAATTTGATCGTTCCAATCAAATGATTTTCTTATCATTTGTTTAGAATGATAATTTAATCATTCTAATCAAACGATTCTTTTATTATCATTTGGAACAATAATTTCATCGTTCCAATCGAACGATTCTTTTATCGTTCTTTTGAAATGATAATTTCATCGTTTCAATCAAACGATCCTTTTATCATTCTTTTAGAATGATAATTTAATCATTTCAATTGAACGATTTTCTTATCATTTATTTGAAACGATAACTTCAATCGTTCTAAAAGAATGATAAATTTAATTGTTTCAACGATCCGAAATTTTAGATTAATCCAAAATTTTCAGATTGAAATTTTTGCAATCCAAAACTGAACCAAAATTGATCTAAACTGAAAATTTTCAGATTAATCTGAACCATTCAGAACTTTACCCATTTTACAGTGACTCTTGCTTATTTTGCAGATGGTACTAAACTGCCTCCATTTATAATTTTTAAATTAGTTAAGATACTACGAGAGCAGTTTTCAAATAGTGTATTTATTCATGCTAATACAAGTAGCTAAATAGATGAGAAAGAAATACTTTAGTGGGTGAAAAATATACAGGATAATTTGGGTTCAAATCCATGGTCTCTTCTTGTTTTTGATTCATTTAGTATTTATAGAACAGATTCAGTAAAATGTCAGTTTAATAAAAAGAATATAGATATTACTATTATATCAGATAGGCTGACTTTATATTTATAACTATTAGATATATCTTTAAATAAATCATTTAAAGTAAAGGTTAAGTTAGTATTGATTTACTTAACCTAAAGAATTTTTTATTAATTTTTAAATTTATTACAAGTTCGTCATACTTATAATCAATGGATGGATGAAACTATAAAGGAATATATACTAGCAGGTAAATTAAATAACTATCATACTTGTTAATAGCAACTTGGTCAAATGGGTATAAAACAATATTGATCTTGCAATAGTATAACAATTTTTCAAGTGTTGTGGGATTTTCACAGTAGTAAATAGCATCAAAGATAATTCTATTTTTGATTTTGTAAAAGTATTAGGTAAAAATGATAGAAATATTAGTATTAAAGAAGAGGGAGAAGAAGAAAGAAAAAATTAGAAAGAAGATAATAAAAGTGATTTAGAGTATAAATATTATGAAAATAAAGTGGGAAATTATGTTAATACCTGGGATTAACAACTTAATATTATGAATATTATGATTATGAATACAATTAAATAAACAAACCTATCTTCTATGAGATTTGCATTCTATATATAATTTGTTGTTTTTATGTATTACATGTAGTTTGATTTTACGTTACTAATTTAATTTTTTTACATAAATAATGTGAGATAATAATAGTGTGAATAGTATGATAATGATACTATATTAATTAAATAACACTTCCTGTAATGTGTTAAAATTTTGTTTAAAATTTTGTTAAAATTGTGTTAAGAAATCACATTGTTTTTATTAATTTTTGACTAATTTTTTGTTAAACTTGTATTAAAATTGCTTATTGATTTTTTATTAAATTGTGGCAAATAATTTTATAATGATTTTTATTTATCACCAATGTGATGTTTTATTATTATTGATCTACTCTGATTATCTAATGTATTATATTTATTAATTTACGTAATTTTTATAAATAATACGATATATATTATTTTGACTTTTGTTTTTAATACAAATTAGAATTTTAATCAAGATTATATTATTTCAATCATGAGTAAAGAATTTTACAAAATATCAAATCAAAGGGATAAATTTATTTATAAAGGGAAGTATTTTTTACTATTGTATAATTTTTTACCTTTTGAAATTTAAATCAACCTTTAAATCACTTTAATTTACTCTATTAAATCATATTTTTTTTACAAACACAAAAATGATTACAAGAATAATTTGGGAGGATAATGAAATTGATTTATTAATTGATAAAAGAAATGAAGAGTATTATGTAAGGTACAGAGGCAATAAGATGAGATTTTGGAGAAGTATAACTCACTGAATCAATTGAAAATATAATACAGCATATTCAACTTGTTAATACAAGTTGAAATAGAGGAATTTAGTATAGAATTATAATGTAAGTAAATAAATAAATAACAATATAATAATAAATATAACTTAATAGTATAATTAATATCTTTTAGGATTTTTGCGATTATCGAAATAGAGCGAGAAAAGGTAGAAGGTAGATCTATACTATAGAAAGATTATATGACCTCTTCAAAACTCGATTCTGAGATAGATTAAGTAATAATTAAAAACGTTTAAATAATTTTTTAGATTTATATTAAATATATTTACTTTTTTAGAATTAAGATACATTCGTAGGAAAAATCATAATTTACCTACTATGAGGCAAATACAAAATACAAAGTAAAACTATAATGAGTCTGTAAGACAAAACTAAAATAGATAGTGAAATTGCGACATATCTGCAAGGTCTGTAAGATAATAAAAATTTTGGTTTTTTTTTCTTATCATTCATTTAATTTTATTTTTTCTTTTATATTGTATATTTAATTTCATTTTTTCTTTTTTATTTTTTCATTTTGTTTTGTTTTTCTATTTCGTTTCATTTCATTTCATTTTCCTAATTTTATTTTATAGTTTCTTTTCATTTGTTTAATTTTATTTTTTTGTCTCGTCTCATTCACTTAATTTTATTTTATAGGTTTATTTCAGTTTTTTAATTTCATTTTTTCATCTTGTTTAGTTTTCTTAATTTTATTTTTTCGTCTCATTTAGTTTTCTTTTCGTTTTATTTTATTTTTTCTTTTATTTTATTTTATTTTATTTTTATTTTATTTTAAAAAAAATAAATTTTTTTTTTTAAAAAAAAATTTAAGTAAATTAATAAAACTGTCGTACAATAATTAACAGATTGTATATTAAAATAAAATGACTAGAATTTACAAAATAACATAAAAATATTTCTAAAAAAAATTATATCATAGTAAAATTATATTTGTGTAATGAAATCAGTAATCATCTATTATAATAAATAATTCATTAACGCTATAACAAATTATTTATTATACATACTGAATAATTCGTTATAGTGTTAATGAAGATTCTTATAATGAAGACCTGATCAGCTGAATTAGCAACTTCGTTATATCAAGGTGTAACTGTATAAAATGATAAATTAAAATATCAATTTTTTTATATTGTGTAATATTGGATTTCAATTTATTTAAAATAATTAAAAAAGATGTAATATTATTTTAAAACTTATTTATCTATGTGTAATTCTTTTGCATTAATATATTATTCATTTTTTCTTATATTTGAATAAAAATAATTTGAAGATTTTGCTTTAAAGAAAGTTAGATTATAGTTAAAATTTTAAAGCTTTATTGATTAATTTATGTATATTAAAATATATTATATTTATTAACTTAAAAATTTATCAAATTTATAAATTTTAAAGCATTTTTAAGATCTACCAATATTTTATTTATACCTTTCTATTTTTTTTATTTTTTTTTATTTTCATTATTATCATCAAATAAACTATTATTAATATTATCATCTTTTTTTTTTTTTATCTTTTTATATAGGATTTCACATTAAAGAAACACTATTTTTATAGAATTTTAAATAATAATTGCACTTATTATTTTGTTTTACAAAAATTTGTAATGAAAAGAATGACTACTTATATTTTCTTTTTATCTAAATGTTTAAATTTTTGATTACAATAATCATAAATATTATTAAATGATTTAATATTGAAAGATAAGATTCATTCTTTTTAATTTTTTACTTTTTAAAAGATTTGAACTTTTATAGCTTTTTCTTTATTTGAGAAATTTCTAAATTTATGTATATATTTGAATCAGTTTTATTATGATCAATAAAAATATAGATTTATTTACTTTTAATAACCATAACGCGTGATTGTAAATTTTCAAAAATGATGGCGTGGGCCATTGAGAATTCGTCGAAATTAAAGAAGAAATGCTCTGTGTAACAAGCCAATTTCATCATACTTTTTACAAATCATTTCTCATTATACTCAATATTACCTGATCGATTACGTAATGACCGAAATCCTCCAAAAATATATAATAAAATTAAATCATTGATCTTCCTTTTTTTTTTAAAAAAAAAAAAAAATGGCGAGACTTACACACGATTGCCTTTTAATCGTATTCAAAGAACTTAAAAAAGACATACGATCTCTATTTTCATGTCTTTTGGTTAATCGACTTTGGTGTGAAACTGCTGTGCCAATCTTATGGAAAAATCCTTGGGCGCTCTTTCAACATCATAGCATCACCAACAATTATGAATCACTGTACAATACTATTATCTCACTACTTCCACAAGAATCTAAGGATTTTCTAATTCAAAATAATATTGATTTACCATCCAGTTATCCAAAACCTTTAATTAATTACATTCGCTTTTTCCAACATCTTGATGACAAGGCTATGATGCATATGTCTGGAAGTTTAATATTTATTTATAGTCAAACGAAATTTCACATATTTCTCATAGAACAAGAAATTTTGAAGATGATCATGAGTCAATCTCAAAGGTTAAAGAATCTTTCATTAAAAACATGTAAATTAAAACATTTCCATTATTTCTCAGGGGCGACGGAATGTTTAAAAAACCTTGTTGTATTCGAATGTAACATTGAAATTGATCCATCAATTTTTTATGGTTTGGCACAAATTTGTCATAAAATCAAAAAGTTATATGTTTACAATTGTTACAAAGATAATGATGGATTGATCTCTCTAATCGAAGTACAAAAAAAATTACAACATTTCACTTGTGAATTTAATAGTTATATGGAATTTGACTATCCTCCATGTAGAGGGATTGAGAATGCTTTAATAAAGCAAGCAAATTCACTTATCTCTTTCAATTCTCAAGGTCAACTTACACTTTATCATCTCATTTACAAAAAATTAGTCAACTTACGATATCTAAAAGTATTTGAACTTTCACCATATCCTGAACAAGAATATCGACTGAAAGCCGCAATCATGCCAAATCTTCAAAAACTTCACATGAATTATTTCTCTCTTCCTACGATAATCAAAATCATTGAATCAACTAAGGGTAATTTAAAAGAAATTAGGATCGAATCGGAACAAGGCTTCTCTAAAGAGAATACTACAAGACTTATTCAAGCCATATCAAAAAATTGTCCAAACTTAATGTTTACAACGATCTTATGTTATGGTGGAGATGATGATAATGTCAAAGAATTGGAAAAATTATTTTCAGCTTGCTCTAAATTAGAAAAGATAGTTCTCGTTCATGATTATTTTAATACTGACGCAGAAGATTATGATGATGAGTTATTAAATGTTTTGGTAAAACATGCTCCTTTAAATTTAATTTCTTTAAAATTGGAATGCTTTAAATTTTCAACAAAAAATTTAGAAAGGTTCTTTAAGAGGTGGAAAGAGGGACGACGCCATTCATTATCCATTTATAATCTAAATGTGGTATATGAGGATTGTTTCTTGTTCAATGATGAGCAGATTAAACTCGTCAATAAATATGAAAAAGAAGGGGTTATAAAAGAATTTAAAGAGATAGATTCAGATTATGAAAGATTTGTCGATTGGGAATTGTGAACACGTGAAATAAGTTTTTTTCAGATATATCTTGAAAATCATAATTTATTCTTGCCATGAGATTCATTTTTTTTTACTTGGGAATATAAAATAAAAAATTCCTTAATATTAGATTTTTATTTAATCTGAATATGGTTTAATGGTTTCGAATTGGAAAAAAATTCGTCGTTTCAATTAATACTCACTAGTTTTAATATTTAATTAAGTGGAAACAAAATTTAATTTTTTTATACGCATTCATTTTTTTTTTTTTGAAATTAAATAAATAATACTGTCTAAACAACTGAATTTTCAAATTAAAATTATTGGGAGTGATAAGAACCAATCGACCAAAAAATGAGAGAATCCAATTAGAAATCCACCCGATCAAAAGATATATGTGTATGCACTCTTAAAACGCGAAAAATCTTTAACCTTTTTTCGATTGTTGATATCACCAAAATAGAATTGTGTGACGTAAATACCATGATGGTTAATGAGGCAAAGTAGATCGAAACTGAGATTGGTTAAAAAGGAAGGAGACATATCAGGTTTGAATTTGAACTGCGTCAGATTGAAAATAGATATTCGAATATTTGTTTGCAAATAAAAAAAATTCAAATATTCGAAATTATATAATTAGTATTCGAATATTCGAAAATCATCAATTATCGAAATTCATTTCGAAAATCAAAAAAAAAATGAAAAGATTTTCGATATTTGAAATCAATTTCGATTTCCGATATTCGTTTGATCTTTGAATTGAAAACCATAGGTTAAATTATCTAATTACGGTCAAAATTTTTTATACATAACATAGAAACCGGGCATTGTCAATGTATGTTTTTTAATTAATCGTGATTTGTTAAAATATCATTGTGCTAATATCAATGGTGAGGTTGATATTTATTTTGTGATGCCCGTTCGAAGTATAATTTTTAGCTAATCAGGAATGGGACAGATATTGAATCGACCAATCAAAGAAAATTTTTTTTTTTTTTTTTTATGATGTGGCACTGCCAAGTAAAAATTAACGAAAAAGTACTAGCTATTCCCTGTGATTATGTTTCAAAGAATTTGACGATATAGGTATGACAGTCATTTCCTTTACAGTTTTATAATTGATGGTAACTCTCAGGGCATAAGCCTTGTAAGATTGTTTAATCACTGGCCTCCTTAATAACAAGTAAAGGTTATAGTTTCTGATAAGATTACAGTAAAAATAGAGTGTAATAAGCTCTATGGTGATCTCTATATCTTAATTTAACAATAAATCCCTTGTGGGTTCAGTTGAGCTAAGATGAAGGTCTAACCGTGATTATTTCATAAACTAAGTGGATTATGTTGAGACTTGTTCAATTGGTTACCTTAAGGGTCATAAGGTTCTTTAGAGCCTTATTCTATTCAGCATAGCGGACTTGCTGATATCACCATGTCAATCATATATATATCAATCCTGAATTAAAAGCTTCAGGTAACACAGCATATGGTCAAACGAACTATAAATTCAATATTTTAAATTATATAAAATATGATTCTATAATAATAAATCAAAGATATTATGAAAAAGAACTCTTTCCCGTCGATCACTTTTCGAAAATAAAGTCTAAGAAAATAAAAACGTTCACCTTCAAAGTCCTATATATTTTTGACTCTGTT